CAAACGATAGCATCAGCATCGATCGATTAAAAGCAGCGTATTTAGAAGGAAAATATTTTTTTAAATACAATTTTAATATGCTCATATATTTATATTTTTATTTACAAAAAAAATCAAAATAAAAAAATCAAATTTTTTAAACGCTATTATATGTTCTTGGGTTTATTTTCCTTTTTTTCCGCCGACATTTCGTTTTTACGTACATACGAGTGTATTTCGACATACACTTACATTTTCTTTTTTCTTTTCCAGGATGGCTGGAAACAACGATGCAGTTTACGAGAAGCCGAAATTTTCATTGTACCTTTTCTTTTTTTATGATGTACCTCGGTCCCATATAGTAAGGAAAGACGACCAGACGCTGCTAAATTTAGTAAGCTATCAGAAAAGTGTTTACCAACGACAAACTCGTTGGGTTTAAACTTCTGGCTGGCCACGTCTTAGGGTCATCACTGCCCCACTAGGAGGGGAGTGATCTGTAGCGGTAAATAAATCTCCAAACCAAATAGCTCTGTAAGTTTTCGAAATTGGATGCTGGCTTTGGTATCCATACCTTGGTGAGCATTCCGAATAGGTGATACTTCTAATGGGAAAAATTGAGAGCCTACCTGGATGTTCATTTTTTAATGTGCAGTCTTCCGAGAGTTGTCGTGAAGACCATGATGATGATTTTTCAGTGACATGTATGTGTTGGTATGACTCGGCATACTTTGTATGTTGTATGCCACCATCAGATCACCTTATGTCTTCCAATGGCTGAGTAATAATAATCTCAGACTTCTGAGTCTGTATTCGTAAAATTTGTTCCTTGACCTTAATGCCCACCTGTTTGACCGTCTCTGTACTTAGTTTGAGATATCTACGTCTATTCTGAAGGGGAGATGAAAAAACGTTGTGGACTTCAATGTGAGGGTGTAGGAACATCTTAGACGGTGTCAGGGTCGATTCTGTAGTGATTGTGCCAAGTTATTCGCACACAAAGTGAAGAGCAAGACTGAAAATCCCAATAACACCAAAGTTGGAACACTGTATAGTAGGTCTAGTTGTCTTGATCAACTACTCTTCTACCAGATGCCTCAATTACAACATCCTCACACTCATTTCCTTGCAAACACGGAGCTTCTGGAAAAGCTACTGGGTCCATTCGAACTTGCTTATTCAAACGGTCAAAAGTAATGTTGAATTTACAAGCGTCTGTCAGGTTTCGTTTCTTTCGAAACATACACCTTGTGAACTTCCTCCTCAAATTCCCTAATATTCTACCCTTAATTTCGTTGATTAACATGCTCAGTTATAGTGTTTGTCTCAGCACTTATGCCATAGCTACGAGAACGTCGTGTGAAGGTTTTGATTCATAGGTCATAATGAGTGGAGCGTTTCTGTATCTAGTAGACATACATCGGTACAAATTTCATTGATGTTGGAGCCTATGTAAGTTCAGCTCTTCACTCTGAGTTTCCCCCAACTTATTAGTTAACTGTGGTCTGGGCTCGGACTACCATTCGGTTTTCTTTTCAGTTTTTCACGTATGGCTTGTTTAGTTTATCTCATTCGTTTTTATCCATTTTTGCCCGTTTTGAGTGTGCTCCTTGTGTATTTTTTAACGGCCTTAGACTTTCGCTAGCATCTATAACAGATTTTAAGTCAATATTGTCATGAAAAATTCATGCAAACGACCTGGATGCTGTTTTGCTGTTACATCTGGCATGCAATCCAACAACTGCAAAGGTTGGTTCCACGAAGTGTGCACAGATCTCACAGCAGCTGCTCGCAACAGACTCAGCAAGTTGGATCATAAGTCGGAATGTGTAACGTGCAGCACAGATCCTGTAGTCCTGCTGAGTAACGTCATTGTCCTATTGACAGGTCTGCAGAATAATTTTTCAGCAAACTTGGAAAAAGATAGACATAAAATGGGTGGACAAACAAGGGTGCACAACGAAAACAAGAATAGGGCTGTCGACATGTTTACCATTGATAGAGCATGCATTTGCACTAATGATGACATAATGGAAATCAGAACCATAACGTCGATGGTAATAGACTCCCTCGGTAAACTCGGGTCTCCCAGCTCAGGGTCCTTGAATGTAACGGTAGTTCTCAAGAACTCTGTTGATGATTGGACCCACGTTGACAGAGCTAAAAAGGACCAGGCGTCACCGTCTAAGCTGAACACAGCAAGTATTGAGTGAAAATCAACAGGTGAATCAACCGCACAGTCTACCGCAAAGAATGTCTGTTCGGTCATCAAAGAGCCTAGGAATCAGAAACGTGCTTTGACCTCCAAACAACAAGGTGCTGAACCTGAACTCACTGGAAAACCTGGGAAAACAATAATGGTTTGTGATGACCCTCTCATAATCAAGAACCTCAAAGATAACCCTGACATTCCTCTCAGTTTTCAGGACAAAAATGACAGGAAGCTCTGGGGTAGATTGAACCAGAAACTTGCACTTCCTAAAATAGAGCCTTGGCGGCTCATTAGGAGAAAGGAAACTAAGCATCAAAGTCACCCGAGGCTACTTCGTGTAACACTTAAGAATACTACTGACGCAGAGGATGTCCTGCTAGCAAGTCATTTACTGTAATCCGATGGGAACGTTAGAATACTGCCCGACATACCGTATTCTGAGCGCATTCTCATCCGTAACATCCGTAAAGAATCTCGCGAGAAGTTTTTCCGCGGAAGAAATATAATTGTGCAAGCTTTACCGGAAAACACGGACCCTAGCCAAGTAAACTCTGATATTAGGGAATGGAAATTCATCAAACAGTCCGTGAGGCTCAATAATATACTGACTCAACATGTGGCGAGACTAGACAAGAAGGACGGTGATTCTAGACTCTGGCTAATGAGGATAACTTTCCCATCCTCCCATATGGCGGCCGCAACTGTTGATACCTAACGACCCGACTAATAACGACGGCGACTCCGCCAACCCTTTGGCTGAACAGTACTCTCGGACATTCCAACCGACACACATCAACTATTCTGATGGCAGCTTCATCTGCAACTGCACAAGACTTTCCGTAGTAAACCTCAGCGCTGACTTGGTGTTCCGGAAACTACAACACCTAAGAAAAGACACCTCTCCTGGCCCGGATATTTCATTCTACTATACTGAGGGAAGCAGCCTCAATCCTGGCAACACCGCTTAGCGTGATGTTCCCACACTCGCTAAGCCGAGGCAAACTGTCGGAAACTTGGAAGCTGTCTCACATCACACCAATCTTTAGGAGAGTTTGACGCAGCAAAACTTCAAGTTAGCGACCGGTGGCTATTCTCTCTGTACCTTCCAAATTCATGGAGTCGCTGATATACGTAATATACATGACTGTTTACTGTACTTAACTTTCTTTTCACCCTAACAGCATGGTTTCAGGAATAGTTGCTCTTGTATAACCAACCTGCTGACTGCGATGTATAGATAGACAAAGATCCTTGATCGCTAGGGGAAGGTTGATATAATTTCCCTCAGGGCTCAGAACTAGGACCTCTTCTCTTCTTGATTTCTATGAAGAATCTTCCTCAACAGGTAACGTCAGACTTACTACTTTTTGCCGATGACGCGAAACTTTGGAGAAAGATACGCAACCATGACGATATATAGGCACTTCAGGAGGATCTGACTCAACTTCAAAGTTGGGCAGATGACAACGTACTTACTCTTAACACTTGAAAGTGTAAAGTAGTCCATCTGCGACATGTCGCAGACTATAGTTACAACTTAGGAAGCTCTTCTCTAGAAGTACACCAAGTTGAAAGAGATTTACGAGTGCTGGTACCCTACGATTTTAAGTTTTACTTTAACTGTGACTAAAATGTCTTTCGAGAAAACCTTGCACAGGTAACATTCAAGCGCATTTTTGGCCAGTTTGACGGAAGAACTTTCTATACAATCTTCAACAGTTTTATTCGTCCCCATTTAGTGTACGGAAACATAGTATTTACCCCCTCACTCCAAAAGGATAGGGACACTCTGGAGCGTATCCAACGGCGAGCCACGAAGTCAGTTCGAGGACTCAAATTCAGTCATTATGAAGAGCGCCTCTAATCACTTGACTTTTATCCAATAGGATATATACGTGTTAGAGGTGACCTTCTGATGGCTTATAGTATCCTTAACACTTCTGGACATCCTCCCAAGCACCTACTACAGCTTAATTTCAACACTAACCTAAGAGGTAACACCCAAACACTGGAGACACAACATAGCAGAACGGACTGTAGACACAACTTCTACTTCTTAAGAGTTTTCGAGTACTGGAACTCGCTGCCAGCCGAGCTAGTCCGAGCGACTTCCTAGAAGTCTTCTAAGAAGCAACTTGATCTATTCTTATTGTCTAAGGATAGTATTATACTGTAGCGTGTTCCAGACTTTGGGATCACCAATTGTAGCGTGGTGTGGAGTGGAGATTGACTATGAACACCGCTACCAAGAAGCTCGTTCCAAATGACTCCATAAAATCCCCGAGAAGCCAAATATCAGAAGGCATTTAATGGACCAAGTCGAGGTTTTTTTTGCTGGCGATCTCGTGGCATCGAAAAGATACTGAGATCGTGCCAGGATACAAGCTTGGTTACAGAACGTAACCGAACTCGCGCGAAGTTACAATCGAAGTGTATGAATAAGAATGGAAGCACAGTATAGGTGTCATTAGCACAGTCAAACAAAAGCACATTAAAACAAGCACTAGCACAGTTGGTTATAATAGTTTTTATTAAACCAGTCGTGTTCTCGTGGTAAATGTGAGTCACTACAAAACTATGATTTACCAAATTATTTTTCCTCTTTTATTATTAACATACATAGCTTCCTGCCTGAATGTATTCGTGATCTACTGCTACTAGACACAGAAGCCTGTTAAGCGAAGCTACTTCTATTCCGTCCACAACCATTTGACTTTGTTTCGTTATCATAACAACCGTCAGGCGCGTATTCGAACTGTGCAACACTTACAGATGACGGACTTTTACTCAGTTACAAAACAGTGATGAAATGATTTCACAAAAAAGCACCAATAATTTAGAAGTTTCTCAACTAAAAGGTCATTTTTCTTGTCATATATACATATTTTAAACAAATGATCCTGTTTTCTCATTAATAAGAGTAGTCCGTCAAATATTTGACGGAGATGAGACCACTTTTAATATTTAGAGTGATCTCGCCAGATATTTTACGACATTTTTGCAAAAAGTAAATTAATTGTTTCATTTTACACGAATTCATGGTTCATCTTAAAATTCCACAGTTAACTGTGGCGTACTAATACGCCAAATATTTTAAAATAATTATTTTAAAATATTTTATTTCAACAGAAATTTACTGTTGAAATAACAATATCTTGATAATAGGGAATATTTTATAAATTATCTCCGTAAAGTACTCGATGTACTTTCAAAAAATACGTCAAATAACATTCTCTTCAACTAACTTCAAAAAGTGTTCAGTTTTTCGGTCATAAGTCTCGTGGTGTCCAAAGATATAGTTACGATTTGTTCCACGCAGACATTCAAACTGTTGTGGTGTAGTGAAACTGTCAAGATGTTGTAGTGGTAAATAAATCCCCAAACTAAATAGCTCTGTAATTTTTCGACACTGGATGCTGACCATATGTTTTAGTGGACTCATCTAGCTGAAGACGCTCGGTCATGCATCCGCACCAGATCACGTGCTGTAACGCTGTGCTCAACATCAACCTCAATCACTAGTCAGATTAGATCAGAGATTCCCGATATATTGGTTATCGCCAAATACACTCTTCCGATCTCCTCGACTCTGTCTTTTGATTTCTCTCGGTGGGAACAAAGCATATTAGAAGGTGTTACTGGTAGAAGCGTTGTCAAACACTGAATACCTGTATCATCCTCAATGTTTACAAAAGAAAGTTTAGTAATATTATAAATGTCACCAAGAAACTAGACATAAAGCTTAAGGTTAAAAGGAGGCTACTAGTATACCTGGTTGATGAATATGCTCAAAGGTTTGATGAAGTAGATAAATACATGGATACATAAATTCATCACAAAAGATTTTAAACTACAACTAAATGAGATTCATATATGAAAAACGTTTGATAATGATTAAAGCGTGGTGTTTGATGTTAATGCGCATATTTTTCAGGAATCAAAATAATGAAATGTATTTTTTAATTTAGTTTAAGAAGCATATCTACAGACTTTATACAGAGTAAATTTGATCATCAGCTAGACTGTCTGAAATTAAGAAACACTGGAAATATGGCTCACACAAATTTTGGACTATTACCAGAAAATATGAAGACAACCCATAATGCTACATATATACTACCAAAACTAATGCCCACGTGAGTTTGAATTTCAATTCTATTTTGAGAAATGTTATTTTAGCCATAAATTAAAATAAGCTCATTATTTGTTTTATAGTTTTACAGAAGTTTTGATAAATACTCGACCATGAATTCTCTTGTAATCGTATCTACAAGCTGTAGGCACTTAAATGTAAAGTTTGTCAATAAAAGCACCAACCACTGCGAGTCTCAGTATCAAGAGACTAAAATAAGCCCATTTTAAATTTTCAAAAAGACGTGAAAATAATATTTTATACGGAAAACCTACAGTGTAATAAGTACATACTGGTTATAGTTGCTACATCTCATAGAAGTATAACAGGATAGATAACAAAATCATGTTAATACTACTAACATCATATAAGTAAAGCAAAATGGCACACAGAAACAATAAATGTCACAAATTGCAATTATTTACGGTAATAAGGTATTCAATAATTGTGACTGATTACCATGTACGTTTGTTTCATTTTCTGGCCTACTTTTCAATCTATTCATCAAGATTAAATAATTATTGACTTCAGTATACAAGCATCTAGGTAACTGAAACCTATTTGAATAACAGTTATCTTACACACGGATATGTGTGTTCTTTTTTATTATTTTTGCGGTTCTATGAACCCTATTTTAACTAGTATATCAGTTTCAAATGTTAGTAAGTTGACGACACACAGATCCCATTTCACCACATCCGATCACTTACCACATTTTTCTCAGTAATATAGAAATTGTCAAGTTTGTTTCTACTAATCAGGTACCGAGGACACTGCCCATGTGTAAAATTTGATTATGGTCAAACATATGGTACTTACACATGCAAGCAATTTCAAGACTACAGATCGACAGTGCTCCAGTCATCAATGACACCGTATAAAGATAGTGGAAATTTTCCGACAATTTATTCACATAATCCAAAATTTCTTTGGAACAAAAGAGTAAAAAGTCACGAAAGATATAGTGATAGATTCTGCTATCAACTTTATAACAAAGATAACTATAGATCAAATGAACTCAGGAATTTCGAAATGGTGAGTAACAGTAATAATGGTAAAATTGATGTTATTATTGAAGATTGATTGTAATTAGCATATTTTTCATCCATAAATTTTGCATAGTGCTTATAATTAAGGAAATATAGATTCGCATAACAAGAAATGGATTTTCCCTCAAATTTTAAACTAATTAAATTTATAGTTGAGTCCATGAGTCAATTGAAGCTAGACCACCATGGAAAATCAGGAAGCACTGGACGGCCGCTTCGTCCTAGTGTGGGAGTCCTCAACGATCCCACTTGCAGGACTCGAACTGAGGGTATTTAGTAATTGGACGAAACGGTCATTCAGTACGTCTAGGTTTTCCATGATAGTTTAGCTTTAACTGACTCATAAACCCAACTATGAAATTACCAAAATCTCTACAAAACCCGTCAGTTGCATAACAGTTGAATTTACCCTTATTACGAGAATATCTCTCAATATCCAATTATTTAGTAATCGGTTGGAATTATGAATTGTTTAAGAACTAGGTGTTACAAATATCTGAAAAATCACAGACAAACTTCGATGTAGCCTGAATCTATCCGAAACTATAAAATATTCCGGAAAACATTACTGTGTCGACCAAGAGTTTGTCATTAGAAGTTGTGGAATTCCAGTTCGACATGAATAGTAATTTAGAGCTGAACTTGACAAGTTGAACTGTCAGTAAAGTCATAATTTAAATTTAAATACTGCGTTTCAGTTTGTTCATACAGCGTGAATTCATTCCAGTTACTGTAAGTATTTATCCTTGAATAGAATTTTTCTCATTTGAAATGAATTCAGTTACAAATAAAAAACACGATGCCCTGAATACCAGCTTCATGTGTACTGAAAAAAATTTAAAGCAATTCATTAGTCTCAAAATAATTGAGAATTTTCCACATTGATAGGATTTTTACTTCTAGATACATATTTGCGTTGATCAATTTTATGGAAATTCTTCTGTTCTCACTGTCAATGTATGCGGAAATTCCTCTTGACATGCTATATAGTCATTCACTATATTCTACTTAACAATTAACACTATATATCATTTTTATTAACAATTTGTCTGAAGTCTCTCTGATGTGCGAACATATCATGATAAAACGCTTATGCATCGTCAGACGTCATGTTATATTGATGACATTTCTCGTAAAGTGAGAAAGATTCTCATCGTTCGTAATTCAGCTTAACTGTTATCAGTTTTTCTTATTTTCTCTTTCTTCAGGCTATTCAAAAACATCGTGAGTATTACCTAGATAAAACTGGGACTAAAAAACCTGTTCCTGCATTTTTAATTCCGTTGAGTGATGCACAATTTATTAAAGACAAATATTCAGCTTAACCATATTGACATATTGTCATCATTACAGAAGATAAGTAATGTTGTAAGAGGAATTAAATATATCATGATAAATCATATCCGTGTTTTACACAAGATTTACTGTCAGGATGGAGTAGTGCGAATTACTGAACCAGGCACAAATATGCATCAATCCAAGTTGTCAACCTTCATCGCGTTAGAAAATATATTATACAACTTGACAGTAACGAACAAAATGTTAGTACACACATGTAGTTGAATTAAATAAGTTGATAACTGGATTCATTGAAGTGATACTTTCGTATAAACCCTAACTTTATGATACCATAATTCAGTTCAGTTTAATTTGATCACATCATCTATATTCTGTGTATAGAATTCTAATGATCGCTAATGTACATATAAAATAGCAAAGTATAATCCATATTAGTTAATTGTTTATTAACGATAATGCTAAGTTTCATAAACGAAAGTATTACGTGTAGTATATCATGAAAGACCTCAGAGTATTGCATTAAAGTACTCCTTGTACGATAATGAATATATTATGTTAGTATGAATAAATACTAAATGGTAAGTTTTTTATAAACGCTAATTTTTCGAAAAAGAAATTACTCTCATTTAAAATCTGGATGGTTAATATGTTCATCTTAAAAAATCACATCGACGAAAATACTTACTTCAAGGTGAACTGTCAGTGTCAAGATTATCCGGACGGGATTATGTCCAGTCACCAAACTCTTGCTATAATCTCAATCAACTTACCACCTAACACACATCCGCCATACTTGAAGTCTTGCCGAGCAAATCTATTACGTCCTACTGATATTTTTCTTAAGTTAGATATACATGTTTTAAATTAAGAGTTGCATGGAATCGTGTCAATGTGGCCCTAGGATTATTTGAAGATGGTGCGCAACTTGAGGCCAATTAAACTAATCGCTATTTTATTAATAGCTCTACATATGCGTCGTGAGAAGCACTCTTCTCTCTATGTACATGCACTTAGTAATTACATCAGGCACACTACGAGTTGAGGTTTTTATTTATTTCCTATAAATTGTTAATTAGAATACCATCTCTGTAAATATTGTTGCATTTTGTTTTTTGGGTTTGACGTGTTAATCGATCGTGTAGTTAAAGCTTCGATTAGGAATTCATAACTTAGGTAGAAAGGAGATTATCGGTTCGTATTCTGTATTTTAACGGATATAAACACAATACGAATTATCATTTTCATAGATAAACAATTAAGATTCGGTTCCTTAAAAACGTTTTGTTCTAAACGGTTAAACCATCTAAGATGGTTTTTAATCAAAGGGATTTCAGATACTAAATTACAAATCTCAGCATTCAATAGAAACAGTAGGTGTTAGCTAAACAGTATTTATCTCATTAGCTTGATTCCTGATCGAGAGGAAGTGAGACAAAGATTACACCAAATCGATCAGATGAGCAATTTGTAAAAAGTGTTAGAGCAAAAATAAGGTAACCACATTCAAAACACATTTGTGAATTCACAGTATAAGTTCTTGAAACTTCACCTTTCTCATTCATTTGATGATTTCAACCACACATCCTATGAAACATTGGTATTCATTCAGTTCAAATATGATACTGCAGTGAACGAGAACACGAGCGGGGACAATCGAATGTTTCTGAACAAAAAAATTATAGAACATCTTACTAAAGACTGAGAACCATATTGTAAACACTTAATTTGCAAAATAGCAATCAATTACCTCAAACTTGACTGTTTCCTTTACAAATATCAGTCCGTCGTTTCAGGTTTCATTGTTCCTGCATTTCCATACCAATTGCTTTCCATTTCTGTTCTTGCCTTCTCGATCTTCTACTGAAATACATCCTGTTTCTGACTATCGTTATATACTACTTATATGAATATAAGTAGTTCACCAAAATACAAATAAGTGAGATAGCTATCCAACATGTTTTACGATGAGTATTTGGAAAATATTGAATGTAACAAATTCATAAAACATTTACGAACGGTTATTCAGAAACATATAATGTATATTTTAATATAAAGGGATTATAAAGTTAACTAAAAAGCAGTTACTTACTTACTTAGGCCTGTTACTCCGAATGGAGCATAGGCCGCCGACCAGCATTCACCAATCCACTCTGTCCTGGGCCTTCCTTCCCAGTTCTGTACAATTTTTGTTCATTTTTCTCATATCTGTCTTCATTTCTTTGGTCTTCCCTCCTTTGGCCTTAAGGATTCCATGTGAGGGATTGCCTTGTGATGCAGTTGGGCGATTTCCTCAATGTGTGTCCTATCCACTTCCAGCGCTTCTTCTTGATTACTTCCTCCACTAGTATCTGGTTTGTTCTCTCCAACAGTAGGTTGTTGCTAATGGTGTCTGGTCAACGAATTCGACGTATTTTGTGTAGACAACTGGTAATAAACACCTGTATCTTCTGGATGATGGCTTTCGTAGTTCTCCAGATTTCCGCCTCATACAGTAGAATTGTCTTGACATTTGTATTGAAAATTCTGAACTTGGTGTTGGTTGACAGTTGCTTTGAGTTCCAGATGTTCTTCAATTGTAAATATGCTGTTCTTGCTTTGCCGGCTGCACCTTCTCATGTGCATCAGATCTACCGTGCTCATCAATGATAAAAAAATAATTAAAACCAAAAATTAAGGTCTTGACAAATATAAACTATTGGTTAATACAAAACCAGAGCCGTATTTAGGAAAAAACATATGCACTTCTTCAGCAATGAAATGTGAAAAAGAATACACACAAAAAATAAAAAAAAAGTTTAACTTACCAATGTTTGTAAGCAAGAAGGTTAATGTACATAGTTTTTGATTGATTGCCTATCGAATTATTTTCAGCTTCACTTGAAATTCTATCAACAATCTTGAACTTTCTAGTAACTGAATATACAGAACCATCAACTGGACTTTAAGGAAAGATACCTACGGTAGAAATCGATAAATTGTTTGCTAATTGAACGCTATAATCGGTTCTTAAGCTATTCTCGTAACCTCCAAGCTAGAACTATACAGTGACATGAACACGAGAGAAAAGGCGCAAAATATGCAAGAAGTACTTTACTCCAAAGGTTCATTTTATTATAGTACTTTAGATGTCCTTGGGTCTCCCGAAAATTCTAGAATGCTACTAAACATAGTAACAGGATAACAATCAACCAATCAGAAACTCTACATGTAATTTCTCACTTCCTTGATGTTTCTGGTTAAACTTCAAGTAAATGCTGATTGAATAAAATGCTTCTCAGTGTTTTCGTGATCCTTTCTTGTAATTTGCAAGACGTTTTCTGGATCACCCCAGCAGAAATATTTTCTTCAAACACTTTACGATAAACTGGAAACACTAGAAAAAACATTTCGTCATATTGTGAGACTCCTCAGACGCGCACATCCATGATCTCACTTGCATGATTTGAACCCCTAGCTTTCGGTCTCGCGCGCAATCGCTTAAGCTCTAAACCACTGTGGTTGAATATTTAATTTTGGATTGATGTGCTCAACATAGAAAAAGCATTTTCACGTAAACATTTTAATATTCTTGTTCGGAAATCTACAACAAAATCTGAAAAGTCTATTCATGTTATCTAAGCTTAACAACAGCTTGTTGATGTCTCTATAAATAAAATAATAATCATATTCAAATATCTTTAAGAAACATCTAGGTAAATTTAGTAAACAACAATTACCTGATACTCTACATATTGTTCACCAGTCATACTGTTGGTTATTAGATCAACAAATGATAAATTAATTTTATATTAACGTTCTAATTTTCGATAATTGAGCAAATAGTTTTCTGTAGAAAGTTATCGTTGTTTAATAAATCTGAAGCAACTGTTAGTTTACTTTTAGAACACCATTGAAAATTTGGAGGCATTAAACAGCCGTTTTGTCCCAGTACAGGACTCCCAAGTGGTGCACATCCACGATGTCGATCTCAGGCTTCAAACCCAGGACTTTCCGTCCCACATGCGAACACTTAGCTTCTAGACTACTGAGCCGGCATCCAACGGTGTTAATTTTCATGATTTCGTGGGATCATCACTATGTAGAGTACATATCTCAACACGTTTCATTAACGAAAAGTTTCCTCGTAGTTGAGCGGATTTTTTAATCAAAACTACGAAGCCATCACCACCATATAACAAATCTGGCTCAGATATGTAGCTGACATATTCGTTATTATTAAAAAACTCTTATAAATATCTGTTAACACATAAACATGCTCTCAAAACACATCTAATTCACTTACGAAAAAGGAGGTGCACATAGTGAACTACTCTTCTTAGGCCGTTCAGTTTGTAGCTGAAAATAAATCCCCAAAATAAATTCCCCTGTAAGTTTTCGACACTGAATGCTCACTACTTTATTTTTAATGGACTCACTTAGCTGAAGGCGCTCGATCATGCATCTGCACCAGATTACGAGTGGGTACGCTGTGTTCAACTTCTCCTACAACCACTAGGCAGATAAAGTCACTTACTTCTCGATATATCAATAGCTTATCAAATACATTTTCAAACCTCTTTCTTTCTGACTTCTGATTCCACTGCTTAGTACATTTTGATTACAGAAGGCGTTACTGGTTATGGTGTTGTCAAGTTTCAATTACTTGTGGCATCTCCAAGTTAAAAGGTATTCTAATGGTGGTCTAAATCTAGCTTTATAACGAAAACTGACACATTCAAATCGGTATAATGATTTTAACTGTTCATATTCACTCAATGAAAATATTTTTGTTGCTATAAATCTTTTCATCAGAGAAACCAAGGTGGTTATTTCACAAGACAAACTGAAAGAAAAAGTGAATGAAACAAATATTCTGCTTTCCAATATTTTTTCTAAAACTATTATTAAGAACATATTGAAACAAAACTGCGCTTTTGTCAATAAAAACCTTAATAAAATTTCTCATATTTGTACTGTAGTTTTACCTTACCCTCAAGTCTCATCAGAAGAATTGCCAACGATACTGAAAACATACAAAATCAAAGCT